CATTTGAACTGTTGAAGTATCCTTCATTTCGTTTGAAGAGACGATTAGAAGGGATTCGTTAGTTAATCTCGCTGGAATTTGAAAAGGGGTTTACTTGGAGCTGACTAGACTTTCGTGAATAAGTTCTCTAGTCACCGTCGCACATATCTACAGTCACAGCTTCAATGCAAAACTCCCTTTTGACTTCCGGTGAAACCACCTTAGATACTCCCTTCCACTCTCCTCTTCATACAAAATGCAAGATACTACAAGATCAACCTAATAGCGGATTCTTGGAAAACCAGTTTTTGAACATTATTTGATCTGCTTTTTCCCACCTACCTTCGTTGATTTTCCTTTACAGAGGGACAAATCAGCAAGCGCTATCAAAGTTGGAGACTTGATAGCCATGATCGCCACATCTGATGAGGATTGGAAAGAAGTGAATAAAATGGTAGTTGAGGTAAGTAGTACAGAAGTACCTGCCTCTCCAGTTGCTGAGATCGCCTCAACTGAACTCCCTCCGTCAACACCAGCGTCTCAACTACTGACACCTCAACCGTCAACGGAGGCAGCAAATCACCAGGTGGAGACTATGGGGCCAGCTGTTCGTGGGCTTCTTATGAGTTATGGTCTTTCACCAAAGGAAATCGCACACTCAGGCCCAAATAACCAGTTGCTAAAAGGGCAAGTGATTGCATTGTTTTGCATTAGCCACATTTAAATGTGCTACCAAAGAATAGTTGCTACGAGTTTCTGGCATGCTTAGCCTCATCTATGCCTTTTCGTCTATATTCATGCAGTAGTGAGTGTGAGATCCATACATATATAATTAGGCATACTGAAATATATCTCCATATCGGTGCCAGTGACCACTGCGATTCCGCATTGGCCATTCTTTTTGAGGTCGCTTGCATTGTCATAGATATCATATGCGAGAATAATTCGAAGCGATCAGGGCAGATGTGAATTCTAAGGAAGACCAGGCATTTTCTTATTTTACATACAAAACATAAAAATAGAGTTCAAAATAGATCTTAAAAAGCTAAACGTATCGAGATTATACGCTGCACTGTCATGGTTCAAGTCACGCTTTGAGTATTGATAAAACTCAGGTAAGGTCGAAACCGCAGTCCACCCTGGATGAGAATAACTTGGGGAAAGCAAGGCTTTCGATGGAAACGTCATGTTCATTCATATCATTGTGGGAAAATTGAACTATCCGTCCCCTTATCACCCTAAACGAAATATGGTGAATACACCTAACATCTATGATATACTGGTAGTCTCGAGAGCCTAATTATAAACGAAAAATTATAATCGAAGGTATGAACACCAAAATGGCGTCGTCTTTAGTAAAGTCGTGATCTCCTTTCTTTGTATAGAGGTTGTTTGACTTTGTTTTCGCAACTTGGTCATATTGGCAGGAAGACCTTGAATAACTCACCTTGTCTGGAGTTGATAGTATGCATGATAACTTCCAGAGTATGACCGTGGACATGGATCATTCCCAAACGTTTCGCCTTCATCATAGTCGGCATCTTCAGCGAGCCTTGCTAGTCTTAGCACCACACTACAACTCGTCAACGAGGCAAATAAAGTCAATCATTTAATTAATTGTCTGCTAAGTAGTTGTGATATCTATCCTGTTTCGGTCTATTTACCTATCCTATATCCTCGTAATACACCTTAACTACCACAATTTATTACCTGCCTATTTAAACCTGGTCCTGGTGTGCCGTTTAAGCAGATTTAGTGAGACGTATTCACACTTCCCGCTGGCTCTCATCCTTTACACTGCGGAGATTGTTGATCCAAGATTGCTATTTATTTCACAATCTTCGTCCTTTAGGTCCTATCAGAGTCTCCCTCTTGCTCCTTAGGATCCATCTCTTAGCTGTCCGGCTTAGTGATTTCACTCGATGGCTGCCGCCATATCCGTGCTACTCGAGACGTTATGTGCTAAGCTATGTCTGAAGCCTTTGATAGCACGTACTATTCAATCTCACTCAGAAAGCCCCTAAAGTCTGGATTCACAAGCAGAATGGAAACCTAGCTTGACCCTGCCGAATCCTTTGTCACTGTGCCGCATGTGCACCGAGCAAATCTCGTGGACAAGCCTTTTTTTCACGGACGATGTCTATGACCAAACTCGAATATTAATAGCCAACTATCTATGTCCTTCACCGCATCTCTCGCTCTTCTCTCCATATTGCCAAGTCACTGACTTTTATACACCCTAATCTCTTGTGCGCTGACTCCCAAATGTTATGGTTGTTTAACTTACTTTGATTTGGCTTTACGTTTTCCTGCCAATATAACCAAGTTACGAAGAAAAGGACAAATTCTAGTATTTGTTTGCAAATAATCCTAAGCGATCCAGTGTGACTCAAGTTCTTATTTTTAACTATCGCTCATTGAATATGATTGAAGTCGATAGCAAATTTTCTGTACTTGTGTATATGTGAGGCTTTCATTCCACTTTCCATCTTTTATGTGTTTATGTTCATCTATTTTAATTTGCCTTTCAGAGACGTGCTTTCATATATCGCATCAAAAGAACTACAACCTAAGCCCGTTTCTGTGCCCTTGCCTACCTCCACTTCACAGCCAGCTGAGCCACTCATCTCATCTACGAAAGCGATCCCTCTTGGCATCACTTCCACTTTTGTCGACATTCCACTCAGTAATATGCGCAAGGTGATCGCCAAACGCCTGAGCGAGTCTAAGTCTAGCATTCCGCATGCCTACATCAAAACGATCTGTTCACTCGACAAACTAATCTCCTTTAGAAAAAAATTGAAGGCTGAAAACATTAAGGTCTCTATAAACGATTGTATTGTCAAGGCCTGTGCTTATGGACTCCGGGTAAGTCTGCGAATTGGCATTTGTCAATCAATTTTAGCTTGTCTTTTTGTTGCCTAGGTCATGTTTTCAGTCTTTTAGATTTGTGAGCCTTTCAAGATTAGTTCGATCTCGATCACTAGACGTCTCATTTAGAGTCAAGATCGAGTCATGGTCATCTAGTTGACACTGAATAATGGGTTATCGTCTTAATTCGCATGAAGTGACTGATAGTTGAATTTCTCCACTATGATGTGCCTATGTGCTGCCCTCACTTCGCTTAGCTTTTCCCATCAAAAGATATTCTTATATGGGGTAGACTGGAGTTTCGAACTATTATTCAAGCTGTACCAATGGTTTTAAAACTTATTTAGATTGACTATAAGTAACATTATTGATCATAATAGCGAAATGCAAATTTGCATCATCGGCAATCACACTGGATAAGCCTTTAGAGTCAGACCTGCTCTGTGACTGTTAGCACACTTGGCAATGTGACGTAGTGGTTATATGTCTAAAATTTATGCTGAATTACCCAGGCTGGATAACAGCTGATAGCAGCCAGGCAAGGTCGAATCTGCAGTTTACTCTGGATGCAATTATCTTTATGGAAGCAGAACTAAACGAAGTTAACTGGCATCCTAAGCTGTTCGTTTCGTTGTAGAAAAATCCAACTACCAGTTCATCACCTTAAGTGATTCCAAGGTGGCTGACTCTAAAATAACCTTTTCAAATTATCTGTTCCCTAG